TGCTGGCGGCGCACTATACGCAATATTCTGCCAACCACAACCAATCAATCTCTTTCACATTCGGCAAGATGGTTCATAAGAACATCGGTGCGGTTGTCAGTGTGTGATTGACACATGCAAGCAAGCAAGAGATGCAATGAATACATCATGCACGCCACGAATATAAGAAGAGCCGGGACAACCTCTCAAGCAGAATTTTAAGGATTACGCACATCTCCTGCCACTACTCTGCAGAAGAGAAATTAAAACAATGTGCACTACACGAAGCAAAATTTTACTTTCTAGACTAAATTGTCATTGACATTGACAGATACATGACTATAACCAAAAGAATCAGAAAAAAAGAAAAAGCAAATTTATCAATATTGCGAGTTTCCAATGACCACTTCAGATGTATCACATGTGGACTTTTCTGCTGTTCCATTGTAGGTCTTCATAACCAGTAGAGATGATGATAAACTATAGTCGTCCTTCAACTGAATGGGCCTTTATATGAATAAATTTATGTGCACTGTAGGTATAGATAAGATATAGACAAGAGGCGATGCAGTGGCGTTCCTAGGGCCTTTGAGGCCCGGGGCGGAAATATTTGTGATGCCTTTCATAAATAAATAATATGTATTACATATACATAGATATTATATGGTGGATGTAATGATTATCTGCTTGGTCGTTGAAGTCAGTGTCATCGAGTTCGAAAGCATATCGTGCTGTTCATCCCAAAGACCATCATATAGTCGCTTATTTGATGCAATGGCAAAAAGAAATGGTAACATATGTCTATACCTCTGCCAAGAAATTCATCGACAAAAACTAACCACAGTCCATATTTTGTGGAAATTGATGGTCGCCGATGTCCAGAAAAGGATAAGGCACTTATTCTTTTTTTCATTTTTTAATTGGCTGATGATGCAGAAAATAAATGAAAAATGTTTTTATATTTTATGTTTTACAAAAATGCAATATACATAGATACAAAACATTTACACATGTCAGTACACATATGCCACAAAATTTTGATTCAGCTAATCGAAAAATATATTAAAACTGTTTTTTACGAGATTTTGCATCAGAAAATATTTGTATTGTTTCATCAAAGTTAATATTTCTCGCCACTGTGTTTTCAATTGATAGGATTGCTAAGCCGTTAAGTCTTGCTTGACTCATTGTCGAACGAAGATAACTTTTAATCAGCTTCAATTTTGAAAAGCATCTTTCGCAAGAAGAAATTGAAACGCACACTGTCAAAAAAATCTTTAAAGCTAAATATAAGTTTGGAACTGACTCGTGTAAATCAATTTCTATTATATAGGTTAACATTTTCAGTGCAGACAATTTTTTAACATCATCTTTCTCAATTTTCCCTGCTTGACGTTTTCCCTGCTTGAAGATGACGTTTTAATCGTTTAATTTCGGGTATCATTTCATTTTCTTCTAGTTCATCAAACGTTTCTGTCAGATTTGGTATCAGCTTTGAAAGTTCTTCTATCTCCATTCCAATAAGATGTGATGATTGAATGGCTGCAAATTTTACATATACATTTTGCATTGATTCTATCTTTTTTCTAAGATCTTGATAAAAATTATCAAGTGACTGAAACATTGATCGTCTCAATTCCTGTTTCAACGTTAAAGCTTCATCTTTACTTTCTTCTCCAGGCATAAGCTTTCTTTGACTTTTTCGACCCAATTTTTCTGTAGCTATTCCCATTTCTTCACAAATTTTTGTAGAAAATATCAATGCATTTTCAACCAATTCATCGCGACTCTCATGCAGAAAAAGTTTTAAGGTATCTAATTTTTCAATGGTTTTATCTAAACCAATTCCTTCTGTTTGCAAGTATTTTTGAGTATGATTGACTTCCTCAAGAGTACTGCTCCAGAAATGAAGATAAGCAAGAAATTTGAAATCTTGAATATTTTTCATTAAAATTTAAGCTGTACCTCTCGTATCTACATTTTCTGATGGATCACATAATTTTTCTAAAGCCTGTACCAACTTGCTGAAATGATTCATTACAGGTTTCACCGCATGATATTGCTCACTTCACCTGGTTCCTGCTAGCCTTTTTGCAGTGATCCCGACTATTTCTGACAATATATCCCATCTATGAGTTGATGAAGGAAAGAAGTTGTAAATGCTTTCAATTGTTCCAAAAAACGTTACACAAGTTGGATTGCTTCCAAATGCGTGAACCCCGCATGATTAGAACAAGGTACAAATAAAATTTTCTGATTTATTTGATGGATCCTGGCTTGTACCCCAGAATGAACACCTGACATTACCGAAGCATTGTCATAACCTTGGCTTCGACATAGGTTTATGTCCAAACCCTCTTCATCAATAATATTTACAATTCTTTGTGTGATATCAATAGCCTTCTTTCTGGCAAGAGGAAAAAATCCTAAAAATGATTCTCTTACCTCTACATTTTTGTTTTTTATATGAACATATCTAATAATCTCACTTAATTGGTCTTGGTGAGATATATCAGGTGTTGAATCTAACATTATCCCGTAATACTTTGCTTGCTTTACATCATCAATAATTTTCTGTTTCACAGTATCTCCCAATATAGAAATAAATTCATTCTGAATTTTAGGGGAAAGATATGAAATCGTGTTTCCTGCCTTGCTATGTTGGACCCTCACTTAATGTTCTTTTAAGACAGGGTCGTAGTGTGAAATTAATTCAACTAACTCTAAGAAATTGCCTTTGTTGTTAGAAAAGTCATCTTCTCTGTGGCCTCGAAAAGGTAAATTTTGTTTTGCTAGAAACATGGTGACATCCAATAAGCGGTGTAAAATGTCATTCCATTTTTTAGTTTCCAGTTCTCGATTTTCTTGATGAACGGCATCAATGGTTTTATTAAGATTCAAACTTAGTTCTAATGTTTTCCATTTTTCATGATTGTTTAAGTGAATTTCAGAATTTTCGTGATGTGAAATCTTAGGGTTTAGTTTCCACCAATTATTAAACCCTGTAACAAATTTTGAAAAATAATTACTTTCTTTATCACAAGCAGCAAAAAGTCGACAACAAAAGCAAAATAAACATTTTTTGGAAGGAGAATAAACCATCCACTTTCTGAAAACTTTTTCACCATTTGGAAGATGCTTGTAGAACCAATGCTTTGTCAACTGTCGAGTTTGACCCTTTGTTTGCTTCCCTACTCTTTGAACCACTCTAAATGGACCATTTTTGTTCTGGAAATATTCACTCTTTAGTTTTACTATACCGATTCTGATGTTATCTGATAACGGAATTGTCCAATTTCCCACATCACAATTTAAAAAAATATCATTTTCACTAGAAAAATTGATTTCATCCTCGCATTGTTGGTTTGACGTTTAAGTTTCGGTGGTTGTTTTTCCTTGGTCAGATTCTACGGTTGTATCTAAATCAGTCTGCTGACTTGATGAACTAGCAATAATGGATTCTGGTTTGGCAACTTGGTTAACAAATTTAAGCATTGATCCAGGCAGAGCTTCGGTTTCTTCTCTTCTACTTTTCAAAATTTTTCGTTTTTGTGCTCCACTTGGATGATGTCTCTTCATGATCACGTATCTATCTAAAAGTTGATAGTGTTTTAATTCTAATAATTTATTTTAACTTCAGGGCTTAAAATATAATTTGAAAAATTAAAAGTGAAAAAAATGGTGTAACATCAGTCACGTAAACCGAGGAGAACATATATCCTTCTTTACCTATCAACACTTTTTTGTACCTTAGATTTAAACTAGTGAGTCAGTACCGGTGGGTGAAAGTATATTTTCTGTTTTTCTTACCTGAAAGATAGTAGTTATATTTAAACTTATTAAAGAAGAGATTGATAAATATATAAATAAAATTTAAAACTCACTCTAATAAACCAAACGGAACAGACAACAAAAAAAGTTTGAAAAAGCCGACTCGTCCAAAAACTATATCAACCAATCACATTCAAGTATAATGATGTCAATGTCCGACTAAAAATAGACGTGGATTACCAATTCGGTCAAGATTTTAAAAAATCGTTTATTCTAACTAAGTATATGCATTACTACAGATTATTTATAAATAAATATATTAAAAAATCAAAACACAAAATCACGTCTATACACTTACTAAATAAATAAATTATTTAAAAATTTTTGTAATTGTCTTTTTGGAGGCCCCCTCCAAATCGGAGGCCCGGGGCGATCCGCCCCACTCGCCCCCCCCTCGGTACGCCAGTGAGGCGATGTAGTGGGAGTGATGACATGGCAGCGTATGACAAAGAGTGCCACATACTTGCTACAATTATTTACCCGCGTGTCTTCAATGGCTGTCATGCTCGCGACAGATTCTAACTAGTGTTTTATTAATTGCTCACTAAACGATAGACTGTACAAATTAATGCGATTTTGAATAAACCATATACACACACAACCATATATATAATATTTATACAAACGTACATTCACATATGCTAACACATTTACACAAATAGAAATCATACATCTACATATGCAACAAATTTGTGCACACAAATAAACATTCTCACATGCAAACACGTTTAGGTACATAAACAAACAACTTTATGTAGTAACATTAGAACACTTTAGCTACCGGTACAAAATCAAAAATCCACATATATAAACAAATGAATACTTAATCCATGGTCGACAATACGCACATACGCGCAAACCTACATATGTCTAAATTTAAGCAGAGCGTATTAACAATTTTATGACATCCAACCTCGCTGATGGCATTATTTTCACCACCATTGACACGACTTCACCACTATTACGTCATTAATATCTTTATTATTTTTGTTGTATAAATAACAATATAATAACAACAATAATAATAATAACGGTAATAATAATAATAATAAATAATAATAATAATTATTATTATTTTCGAACACAGAAAAAGAGTAAAAGAGAGAGAGAGAGAGAGAGAGAGCGCGCGAGAGCTCCTGAAAATGTCGTATGACCACGGAGGAGGAGGGTCAGGAGGCAGCGGTCACGCGGGAGGCAGGGATCATCAGCAGGGCATGCAGCCAAAGCATGAAAGGAAGGGAGCGCTAAGAGAGAAAAGGTCGTTCGAGGTCAAAGGTCATGTCTTTGTTGGCAGGTTCTTCAAGCAACCAACATTCTGCTGTCATTGTAAAGATTTCATTTGGTGAGTTGATGTCACAGTGTTGATGATGATGCTGGTTGTGATGATGGTGCCGGTAGTTATGTAGATATATGGTCATATACATGAGATGGTGATTAGATAAATAATGATGAAAATTGAAGTGGATGATGACAAATAATTATTACATATTTGTGACAACAATCGAGTAATTTTGAGAATATATGCGCAGCGCTAGCATGTTCGCAGTTTTTCACATGAACGTGTTTACAACGCATGAACATTCGTGTGCTAGTTAGATGCTCAGAAAATCAAAATTTGCAGGGTTCTTAAAAATAAAATATGGGCAATGATTTTTCATGTGCACATTAATGCTTAGACTTTTCGTTTATATCTGCGTGTCTGTCTGTCTGTCTGTATGCTTGTGTGCGTGCGTGTGCAGTTTTATTCTGCTTGAAATTTAACGTTACATGATTGATTGCACTAACTGACTAGATCAACAAACACTTTACTTTAGTCTGTTGTTGTTAATTAGGACAGCTGTCCTTAACTGTTATTTTACCTTTATTATCAACTAGTATTTAACTTACTTTAAGAAATACACACATTATGTTTCACATTTTTATTCATGTGTACTTGTTGTCGATACTACCTCCCGAGTGTACAGCATCAGTATTCAAGAGTCACGTGATTTTCTATAAAACAATTAAAGGACGCGTGTCTGAAAATGTACGAAGCCCCAGCAAATTTTGAGACAGCCTGCATAAGGTGTAAATAAATAAACAGTTCTACCAATATTAGTAGCGGACGAGCCGGCCTTCAATAAATTTGAAGTTTAAAAGTGAATTTAATATTTTGAAACGTAGTCTTTTACTTTAACCCTGGCATCTGTTCATGTCAGAGTACGTATTTGTTTATTATTGTGATGAAATGTTTATATAATCATTTCCTAAATTGTAAAGTTGAAATTTAAAATATTGTAAACATTAAAATTAAACTTTTGGACCATTTATGTCGTTATAAATTGCCTCCGCACTTACATTCACATGACTCTCGAATATTAATGTGTCACGCTAGGGGAGTTATGTCTGTGTTGGCAGTTCACGTAGTAGCACCCCTCACGCACACATTTTCACACAAACTATTTTCAAAGTGATGTACAATCTGTATGCTCTGGACAAATAAATTTCATTTTAAATGCTACGTACATATACGTTATTATTATTATTTATATTATTATTATTGTTTTTATTATTATTATTTTTATCATCAGAATAAAATCATTGTAGATAAATATCGCTCTGCACACAGAACTGATATTTTATTGGCAGCAAGTTTAGTTATTTGCTTATTCCATTTCGACTACCTCCACAATTGACAAACTAACTTGTCAACTTTTTTGGTTGCTCTAGAAGTGTTTTCAAAAGAAATGTGCAATTGTTTTAATTATACGGTGCTATGAGCAAAACATCCTTGTAAGCAAACAAGCAAACAACGATCAAAAACTCTTAGAAATAAACATCGTGTTTTGAACATACGAAATAGATAGACCAGGCTTGCGTAAAGTCATAATATTGGAACATTATTTACTCTTATATGTTTAAAATAATGTTTAGAACGATTCAGTTATGCCAGAGACATGTAATGTAGTTAAAAAGAGTTTATGAACAGTTTTTTAAGCAATTAGTGTTGTGGAATAGTGTGATGAATAATGTACTTTTATGTTTTCAAGTAACTGACAGTGCATTAAACCATTAAAACGGAGTACGTTTTATAACATTTCATAGTGATGATGAAACTCGATTTTATAGTTTTTTTTATGAAAGTTTGTCTAAATATTTTCTATTCGATTTACGTAAAACAATTTCTGCGTTTTGTTGCTGCAAATTTAGGCGCAGTCACCATGGATATATATAATATGGATGTAAATCCATGGCAGTCACCTCTGTTGATGCAGCTGTGCTTCTATTCAACTGGCACTATATATGCGTCAAAGTAGATGTTTTAAAATAAATCAACCTTTAAAAATATGTTGACGATTTCTAATTCATACACAACAACGCGCATGCCCACACATATACATTTTATATGATTACATACACATAAACACATATATATATATATTTACACACACACCACACACACACACACACACACACACACATATATATATATATATATATATATATAGTTTGTTCAATATTTCGTTTTCGGCTACATATAGGCGTTCTTCAAATTTCATATAGTAAACATCAACAAAATGCTATAGCTATTAATGTGGAATTTTTTTTTTAAATTTTGTAGTCTGTAGTTACTTGTAGCGTAAATATATGATATTACAATTTCTCGATAAAATTTCATTCAAAAATTATGCATCATGTTATTTATTATTAATATTTATTATATTAGGTTTTCGTTGTTTGTAGGACAATTATTAATTTTGATTTTATTAGTTGAAAGGCAACGAATGACGTGACAGCAGAGAAAATTGAACCAACCCACCCACAAATTTTCATCACTTTCCTTTTTCATCTTTGTAGGTCAATCATAGTCAATCATTATGCCAATTATTTAAACATAGACCCCACAACATTAGAGAACTCAATCATAGTTTGTGCATGTTCGTATCATTCTACTTACGTAGTTAGTTTGAAACTGATAGTTTTATTAAACTCCCGTGTCTAACCCACTATCAATATTGATAATCTATATATGCATTTTTAAGTTTGATAAATATATATATATATATAATTTATCACATTTATAATTATATAAGCATATATATTTATATATATGTTTATATACACACAACACACATAAATATACAATGAATATGCACTAATAAACCAGAATCAATAATGGATCATAGTCATCTGATATATTTGTTCAAATGTACGATTGGTGAGTGTGGGTACCATAATTTCGAATATATTGGTATGACGACGACCAAGTTATTGAGAAGACTGACGACGCACGTACAAACTGGCGCTATAAAGAATCTCATGAAAGAAAAACACAAAACTAAAATTACTAGACAAATCTTTGACCGCAATGTTGAAATCTTTCATTACAATAACATCCATTTTAATTTACGACTAGCTGAATCAATACTCATAGAACAAAGACATCCGATAATAAATATTCAACAACGGACAATTGGAATTCTTCCTACCAATAAATTTAGAAACAGAATTTCTCTGTTTCCGATAATGAAAACACGTAAAAGTGTTATATTAAACGAAGTTGAAGATTGTAAAACTTGTCGAATTGATTGTCGAATTGATCGAATTGACTGAATTAAAAAGATTGTCGAATACCGTCTGTGGGTGGCCTCCATGGTGGAAGCTCAAGCGACATACCAGGAACTTAAATAGTCAAAACTTTATTGAATAAGAGTGAATGCACTGGAGTGGGAGTCATTGGTTTGTGGGGCTGGCGAACGGTAGGTGGGTTTTCTCTCTTCATGCTGAACGTCAACTTTTGGTGCTTCTGGTCTATGGTGTGGTTATTGAATCTGTTACCCGTCAACTTAAAAAGACTAGAATAAACTATTACAACCTTACCTCTTAAAGTATACTTAAGTCAAAGATTACCATTTATTTTTCTGGATTAATGTCTTGATATAGTTTAATCGGATTTTTCCTTTTCGGCTGTGATTGATTTTGAGGATGTAATAATAATAACTAAATAATTAAAAAAAAACAAAATAAAACAAAAATTAGGAAAAAAATATTAAAATTACTGGCACACCATGGCACCATCTTGGGAGCTGTAGTGCCGTTAAAATCTTCATCGAAAAAAAAGATTGTAAAACTAATTAAATGAGCGTTAAGTATTCACTTTGAACGAACAACGAGTCAACAAAGTAAAGTAGCGACACAATATATATATATATATATATATATATATATATATATATATATATATATATATATATATATATGTTTGCGCATCTGAGCATATACGCAACATATCAACATTATACTAACCCAACATTGATCACCGAATATGACAGGAATACCGAAAAAAGCTTTTTTGTTCTATCATGCATAAAATAAACAACAATTTTGGTTTTGAACTCAACAAACCTGAAAATAAAATGATTTACCATCAACCGTTAGAAAAATCGAAGAGTTAAATAGGAAGTTAACTAACGCCGAATATGCCGTGATTTTCATCAATAATTGCTTATATATATACATATATATGTGCAGTAATTTATGAAATCTACCGAATTTCTAGCGTTTGATAGTTTTTTATTACATTTCTCAATATTGCTAACCAAATTCTTGTCGTCATTATTTATTTTATTAAAGTTAGAATAATATACAGTTTACCAATTCATTCTCGAGTGTATAGTGTATAGGACCTATATACTCGGAAATGAATTTGTAAACTGTAAATTATTCTATCTTTAATAAATTAAATAATGATGACAAGAATTTTGTTAGAAATATTGAAAAAAGTATTAAAAAACTATTCAACGCTAAATTACTGCATTAATTATAGTTTGTTTTACCAGCATATGTACATAGATATGCTTGGAAAACTGTAAATTATTCTATCTTCAATAAATTAAATAATGATGACCAGAAATTTTTTGGGGAGCTTAAATTTGTTATAGAATGTTGACTTTTGCAAATCATGGAGTTTGTCAACAACTTTTGCTTTTAAAACCAGTGATTTTGTACAAACTTAATTTTATTGCCGTCTGGGGGCTAAAACACTTTTCAGTCCAAAGTTTTTGAAATTCATGTAAAGATTTTGTTCGAATTTAACCTAAATTTTCCAAAATTGCGGTCACTCCAAAACCAAACTGCTAAACTAATTAGTTTGAACAACCAAAAATGGTTGGTTGTTCGAAATTTGAACATGTGATGCCAATACCACATGATCCCCATTGGCTTCCGATAAACAAGAGAAGAGTGTAACTTATAAATTGGCTGTTGAGATGTTCAAAGTTGTCAATGGACTGTCTGGCACCAAAGTACCTGACTGAAAGATTTTCTGATAAGGCAGAACTATCTGGAAGCTCGGGAAGATTGTGCACATCAACTGAGTGTACGTCGGACTCATTAGTGAATGGTCGAAGAGATTCTGCAGTGGCTGGACCTATTGTTTGGAATAACCTGTTTCCATCGTTTCGTCTACTTGGAATCGCGCTTTCTAATTTTTGCGGACAATTGAAAGCTCACCTGTTCAAACAACATTTTTGTTCACATTCTTTGATAATCGTAAGAAAGCTTCTAAAATGCATTGGATAATTTTGTTGTTTTCGTTGAATACGTTATATTAGAACTTGCGATTATTTCTTTTTATAGTGAAACAGTACTTGTGTAATTTTATTTAGTTTTGAATTTGTAAACATTAAATTTGTTATTCTCCCTTTAAACCGTTAGAACCGAAACTATACTACTTTCCAAATAATATATATTGTTATAACCGTGCTACCGAACGCACTAGAACATTCTAGAATATGCTAGAATCGGACCCTCTAGAAGAATCTAGAAACGACGCTTGCGAAGAGTATATAAGCGCACGTCGCAAGAAGATTAGCGATTAGTGAAATTCGTGATTTTGTAAATTCGTGACTGTGATTTTGTGAATAGCGATTCGGTGAATTATTGAAAGCGATATTTGATTTGTTTGTTGACGTTGTTATAGCGATAGATTTTGAACCATTTAAAAGTTAATTGTTGCGTTAATTTGAATCTGCTAGAAATAAACGATTAGTTGATTTCTTCTGTAAATAAAGTTTAATAACTAATAACTGTTTGGAGTATTTTATTCAATCGAAGATTTGAACCCGTCGCATCGAAAATCGGTTACGACAGCGAGTATTATAACATTGGTGTCAGAAGTGGGATCTTCGACCAGCGAATTACTACTCATAGAAAAAGAACACGATGTCAAAACTGTGTGGTTTGAACGTAGTTCAGCTACGAGAAGAACTACAGAAACGAAGCCTCGTCACAAGTAGCAACAAAGAAGTACTAGTAGCACGTCTGAGAGAAGCTCTCATTGACGAAGGTAAGAACCCAGACGAATTCAAGTTTGATGGTGCTGGCGAAGACAATGAAATTAGCACAGGCACGTTTACAACCGTTAAAATGATGGAACTTCTGCTTAGTATGTCAACTGAAATAAAACAACAGATCAAGGAACAGTCCGAACAGATCAAAGAACAGTCCGAACAACAGTCCGAACGACAGACAGAGGAGTTAAAACAGATCAAGGACCAGCTAAAACACGTAAAATTGGAAGTGGCAGAACAGATTGAAGAACAGTCAATAAGAATAGAAATGATCGAGCAGAAACTTGATCGTCAGACCGTTGAGGTAGATCACAAGATAGACAAATTGAAGCGAGAATTGGAACAATCCAAAAAAATGGCCATGCCGTTAGATCACGCATCCGGAAGAACTTTGAAGGTACCAGCATTTGACGGAGTGATGTCCTGGAACGACTTGTTATTCGAAGGTTCATTCTTAGTCGCGGATATCATCGACGAATGCATAATAGGTGTCGACTTTCTGACAAAATATGGGTTCAAAATTGACTTAGAAAAACGCATTCTTAGATGGAGAAATACAGAAGTGATAATGGGGGATAGCGACGAAAAATGCATTCGAGTGACAGCCGATTGTGACTTAGAACTACCTCAATCATCTGAAAACATCGTATGGGGCAAGTTGAATTGCGATCCTGGGGGCCACCAGTTCTATTTGATGGAGCCAACCTCAACGACAAATGTACAGAACGCGGTCATTGGAAAATGCCTGGTAGAAGCGAACGAAAATGGTCTTATTCCTGTAAGAATAATGAATACCGCTAAACACATTATTAAAATTAAAAAAAGCGAGGAAATAGGTAATTGCCAATCAATAAATTTGGTGAAATCATTAGATATGGCTCAAGTTGGTTTTATACGCTTGATTTGAAAAGCGGATACTGGCAAGTAGAAATCGACAAGAACGATCGCGAAAAGACAGCGTTTTCTATCGGATCGGGGTTGTGGCAATTCACCGTCATGCCATTTGGATTTTGCAATGCTCCAGCTACATTCGAGCGACTGATGGAATGTGTATTGCAAGGTCTTAACTGGAAAACCTGTCTTGTCTATTTAGACGACATAATTGTTCTAGGAAGAACATTTGATCAACACGTCGAAAACTTACGGGAGATCTTCACAAGACTTCGGGTGGCAAATTTAAAGCTGAACGTTAAAAGTGCAGGTTATTTTCTAAAGAAGTTAACTATTTGGGACATGTGGTATCTTCAGATGTAGTTCGAACTGATCCCAGCAAGATAGAAATTGTGAAAGACTGGCCAACTCCAAAGGATAAAAATGAATTGCGCAGTTTTCTGGGATTGGCAACGTACTATCGACGTTTTGTAAAGGATTTTGCAAAAGTTGCCAGACCTCTCCACCAACTTACCGAGAAGGACCGAGTTTTCAACTGGAATACCCTATGCGACTCAGCATTTGAAAAGTTAAAAGTTGAACTATGTGATGCTCCTTTGCTAGCATATGCAGTTCGTGGCAAGACGTTTGTGTTAGATACTGATGCAAGTAACAACGGAATCGGAGTCGTTTTGTCACAGCATATAGATGGAGAAGAAAAGATGCTAGCGTATTATAGCAGAGGATTCACAAAGCCCGAACGAAACTATTGTGTGACCAGGAAGGAGTTACTAGCAATAGTCAATGCATCAAAACACTTCCACAAGTACCTTTATGGACAGAAATTTTTTTTTCGAACTGATCATGCAGCGTTAAGATGGGTCCTCAACTTCAAGGATCTTGAAGGACAGATGGCCCGATGGTTGGAGCGTTTACAAATGTACGACTTCGAGATCGTGCACCGCAAAGGAACAACTCATAGTAATGCTGATGCTCTCTCACGTCGACCATGTTTACCAGGATGCAAATATCGCTGTCGTCACGAGGAGAAAGTACAATCGGAAGACATAAGAGCAACAACAATATCAGCGGATGACGGTTGGACACCGACGGATCTTGCTGATGCACAGTTTGCGGATGAGGACCTACAACATCTGATCACATGGAAGAAGAAGGGCAAGCGACCGGACTGGCAAAGCATCTCAGAATATAGTGCCGTGTTAAAGGGTTATTAGGCTCAGTGGGACTCTTTGTATTTGGAAGGGGATTTGCTGAAACGAAAATGGGAATCAGCTGATGGATCAAAACACTGCATGCAAGTTGTAATACCAAGTTGTAATACCAAGAAGTAGAACGACCGAAATCCTTGATGAAATGCACAGATCAAGGTCGAAATTTTGAGTCACAACTGTTTGGTGAAATGTGCAAGCTGCTGGGTATAAACAAAACTCGAACGACACCTCTTCACCCACAGTCTGACGGTATGGTGGAACGATTTAACCAAACCCTGACTGAACATCTGGCTAAAGTAGTCGACGAAAATCAACGGGATTGGGATCGTCATATACCATTGTTTCTTATGGCATACCGGAGTGCTATCCACACAACTACTGGAGAAACGCCATCAAGAGTTCTGTTTGGGACTACCTTAAGAACTCCAGCTGATGTGAAATATGGCGTACCACCTGAACCACACCAACCATTAACAGAATACGTGGATAATCTTCGACAGCGATTAAACCATATCCACCGTTACGTACGCCTTAAAATTATGAAAAACACGGAGGCGGCTAAAACCAGATACAACTTGAAAGAAAGCAGTGGCGGTTTTGCTGTCGACGAGTTAGTTTGGCTGTACAACCCACAGCGAAAGAAAGGACGTTCTCCAAAGTTCCAGCTAGGGTGGGAAGGACATTATCAAGTCATCACCCGCTTGAATGACGTCGTCTACCGTATTCAGGAATATCGGAAGCCGAGAGCAAGAATGAAGATCGTTCATTTGGATAGACTGGCTCCGTACCATGCGGACACCGGAACGAAAGCTGTTCGGGACGAACAGAACTAAGAAGGGGGTAATGTTATAACCGTGCTACCGAACGCACTAGAACATTCTAGAATATGCTAGAATCGGACCATCTAGAAGAATCTAGAAACGACGCTTGCGAAGAGTATATAAGCGCACGTCGCAAGAAGATTAGTGATTAGTGAAATTCGTGATTTTGTAAATTCGTGACTATGATTTTGTGAATAGCGATTCGGTGAATTATTGAAAGCGATATTTGATTTGTTTGTTGACGTTGTTATAGCGATAGATTTTGAACAATTTAAAAGTTAATTGTTGCGTTAATTTGAATCTGCTAGAAATAAACGATTAGTTGATTTCTTCTGTAAATAAAGTTTAATAACTAATAACTGTTTGGAGTATTTTATTCAATCGAAGATTTGAACCCATCGCATCGTAAATCGGTTACGACAGCGAGTATTATAACAATATATATATAGTACATCAAGTACTGATATGTGCGTGCGTATGTAAGTACATCTATGGCTGGGTACATACAATATATAAATGCACGTGGTTTGCCCATTACACAGCACATGCATACAAATGCACTTACATGTATGCAAATATATAATGCAACCCTCCAAAGTCAACCAGCTATATACATACATTTGTGTGTAATAACTGTTTACGATGCATTAACATGAAAACCCTAATGACACTACAAACCGCATGTGTCTCGCTGAATATATTAGTGTATGTATGCATGCCTGCATGCATGTGTGTTTATGTATGTGTGTGTGTCTACAGTATAATATTTATGTGTATTCACGTATATATGCATGTTTGGGGTATGTGTGTATTTTTGTGACGATGCTGCACTGCAAACAGGGTATGGTCATTCAAGCTTCCAAACGATTCATCGAAATATATCATCGAAAGTTTTTGGCAATTATATAATTTTATGGCAATTATATCATCGAAAGTTTTTGGCAATTATATAATTAAAACCTTTTTTTAAATCAATGCGTAGTACAAACACACACACACACACACACACACACACACACACACACACATATATATATATATATGTGTATATATATATATATATATATTATATATATATATAGAATGTTTCAAACATGCACACTTACTTTTTATATTGAGTTAAATAATAATAATATTTTATTTATTCATCAATTCAAATCAAACAATTGTAAGAAATGAAAATGATACGGAGATCTGAAAAGAAAAGATCTTATGATAGACCACCGTTAAACAGAAAAATTTCATTTAAAATAAAGAAATGGACATTAATACAAACAGAATTTTAAAATTAAACTTGCGTACAGGCTACAAAAAATATTGACAAGATAATGGATTGAAACAGTATAAAAACATTGACACGTAGTCCAGCGAATAAACCAATAAAAATTCGTTATTGACAAAGTATAAATACAGTTGACAAAGAATACAGTTCAATGATATTATGATGATCGTGTCCACATACAAACACGAGCTTATACATGTTTACATATAAACACATTTATACACATGCACACATATGCGCACACACACACACACATTTATACATTCCTAATCCTATAACAACATATATATAACCCACATATATGTATAATAACATAGCATGCCTAAATAGTGATATCATGTGTACAGGATAAAAGAAAAGTTTTGCAATGATGTTTGAAACAACCCGTTTGGAGAGAGAAGTGATAGATTGTGGCAGAAATTTAAACCAAATTTTAGGCGCCATAATAAAAATGCTATCATCAAGAATTTTTAATCTGCTAAAGGGAATAATGTAAGGAATAAAATGCCGGGTGAAGTTTAAACAATTCGAAGGTTTTTGTATTAATAAATTAGAAAAGTTAGAAGGTAATCGGTTATTCATAAATTTATACATAAAAAGGGATGCATTAAGAATAAATAATTGAAATATGGTTAGCACGTTTAAAGAGAAAAAGTAATCATCAACATGGTCAGTTTGTTTAAGATAATATATAAGTTTGATAAATCTTTTTTGCAACTTAAATAATTTTAAAATATGAGTTTTTGGAGAGTGACCCCAAATAATATTACAATACGAAAGATGAGGGAAAATAAAAGCGTAGTACAATTGTAAAAACGTAGAAATATTAAGCTTATGTCTCATTTAACTTAATAATCAACTGAAATTCATCATAAAAAAGATTGAAAAATTAAATAGAAAATTAAACAATGCTAAAAATGTTATGATTTTCCTAAACAACTGTATATCTGATATTCGGAATTCAATATATATATATATATTTATATATATATATAATAGATATATATACAATATATATATATATATAATATATATCATATTATATATATATATATAATATATTAGGGTGCATCAAACGCCCTCATAGAAAAAATTTGTCACGGCTGGTATCTTAGCATATGCCTTTTGTAGAAAGTAGTTACTGTGTGAAATATGTTCGAAATATTTTTATTCCTAATGGGTCCACAAGGACCTTAAAGTTATGAAAAAATTACACAAATATATCATACACAATATCAGTTTAAAATACTGCTTTTATTCATATAATATATTTGAAATATACAGTTCTTAATTTTTATATAGTTCTTAATTCTTATACAGTTCTTAATTTTATATTTATATGTATAATATAATATGCATATGCGTGTCTTGTTTTTGTTCTTTGTTGCAGAAATCAACATCCTGTTTTGATAAATTTCAGTGAATGTAATACTTCTATTACAGCAAGTTTTATCTCATTTAAAGTGAATCTGGTGGATTTTAAAATGGCAGAAGCTGCAGTATTCCAAAAAAGACTAGAAAAAAATTGTGTGTTTGGTATTGGTTCAAGTATTACAGAGACTGATGCTGAGATGAAAAGCTGCAGATAACCGACAAATGAACAAGTTATTCGATGCTACATATTTTATAGGCAAGCAGGTCTTATAAGATCAAGTCGAGATAATGCAAAAATTGTACTAAAGAAGGTCAATGAGATCAAGTCGAGAAAATGCAAAAATTGTACTAAAGAAGGTCATTCCTTTTTATCAAAAAGCAAATATTCCCATGGTTACAGGAAAGAAGGCTTGTTAAAAAATTATTGTACTTTGTGAGAAAAATTCCAAACTTCGTGCACTTCCTCTAGATCCTAGATCATCAGCATCTGCTATACACAAATTACAACAAGCTGAAGCAGATCTTAAAAAAAACATTTCCACTGTGGATAAAAAATGCTAATAAGATTATGATGAACAAAGATGATATCAAGTTTTTAGAGTCTATGATGGCAAACCGTATTGCTTCATTTGCATCACTTGACAAAAAGTTAGTATTGCAATTGCAGCGTAAGGATACAAGAGCGCAGAAGCAGGAAGAAAGGCGTCGTAAATTTCAGGAGTCAGCTGCAGCATCATCCACTGCAGCACCGCTCAGCAGTGACGAAAGTTGTGCCGATATTGACAGTCCCGTCAAGCAGCCCGATAAAGTTCCAGCAATGCAGACAAGGACCCATCATCGACTACGTCGCACTGGAACGGATGCCTTTACACCTTTTGACATTATTAAATCTCCAAAAATTGTCTTTTTCTACCAAATTGAAAATTTCTCCAGCACAGCAGTCAGCACTCACTAAGGCCATTATTGAAGGCATTGTGAGACGTCTTGATAGTGAAGTGGTCGTAACACCAATATACGAATGTTGTTGACGTGCACAGTCGTCAATAGGGCATTTAAATTCATATATTACATGGTTACGTTTCAAAGTAGAATCGTCTATAGGAGTGCAGTTGTTCTTAAAGAGCAATTGTGATGTTTTACAATTTTTGTAGTATATCTTGAGTTTTATTTTATTAGTATCATTGATTGGTGTAACATTTTTTTATGATTTGTTTGAAGACGACTTTGTCTATTTTATGTGCCCTTAACATATGATTTTTGTAATATAGGATTATGTCGTTGTCATTGTTGTTTTTAAATATATTGCTACATTGTTGTAGTCTTTGTTGAATAAGAGCACTATTTCTATATTACAGAAATCAATGATACTAATAAAATAAAACTCAGGATATTCTAAAATAATTGCAAGACATCCTAATTGATCTCACAATGCATACACAAAGAGGAGCCATCAAATCTTACATGCAATCAACACATGCAATTCCAATAACCTGCCATACTTTTGACAACAGCACAAAAATAATTTATCAAAACACCAACACAATACATATAAAAATTACAAAAGATGTCCTAATGGATATCAAATAACTTCAAATAAACATTCAAAAAAGAATGATAACATCATTACCAACTCGACGCCTTAATATAAATTGAATAACAATTTTGTTGTTGCCATTCCTTTGTTGTTCATCGTTATTTATTTAAAATGAAAATCACGATACCAGCTAATAAACTTTGCTAAAGAACTTTGCTTTGTTTAAAAAAACTATATAAACCAAACATGCACTGAAGATGGTTCATGAGATATCGAAATAAGGCCTTATCTGCATGATGAATTCGGATAACAACAGTTTCATTAAATTTTTATGATGAACTTGAATAATTCTATTTTCAACAAACTGAACAATTTTCAGAAATTTCTATTAAAAAAAAAGACAAACTTTAATTGATTAATGTCAACAATTCGGTAAAATTCATACAATACTGTATATATATATATATATATATATATATAAATTCATACTATATTGTATATATATATGTATACTGTAAATACTTTTGCGAGTCTTCTTTAAATATTTATTTCAAAATATGCTAAAACTTGAACGCGAGAGCTTGCAGTAGCAGTTTTAATTTCATTTTACTTTTTCTGTTTAGGGATTTTCTCATTTTAAACGTATAACTATCTGAGTTCACTCACTACACAATCACTCATCACATTTCCTTATTGACTAGATCATATCACTTAACATCAACATTACGCAGTATAAAGTCATCACTTATCACATCTCATCATCACTCATTACATCGCATCATGTCATATCGTATCATATTATCGTCACGTTATCATATGTCATCACATCAACATCACACATATCATCATGTCACATCACATCGTTACATTGCATCTCATTGCATCACATGACACCATATCAACAAATTCAATTTTTTCTGTTTGTTCACGTTAAAGTTCTTCACCCGGCTGACAGTTTCATTCTTAGCCACTTCCTCCATGCAATATTCTTTCTTGGTTCTTTCGATTTGGAAACATTTTATTTATGTATTATTAGAATTGAATGAATGAAAAAGCTGCAATTTTTTGAGAAATATTAGTAAGATCTCTTATTTATAATTGTCATATTTTACTTTGTTTAAAAAATAAAAATTCAGATTACTTTCAATAAATGATTTTCTCTCTGATTGAAGTTGGAAAACGTACACAGATTTTTTGACTGGCGTTTGATGCATTGATACAAAGCTTACAATGTCAACTCATCAAATATTTCTTCACCATTTGGTTTTTGAAAATTTTGATGGAATGTGTTATTAACTAGAAAAACTTCTGGTGGCCCATTCAGTCATACATAACTCTAAATAACCCTTTATACTTTTTAATTAATTTATTTATTTTCCGTTGGTTTGCGTTAAATTTTCATTCACTCAGTCGGGGACCTTTATTGAAGGAACGCCTGATTTCATCAGCATCAAATGCATGATTTTTAATGTTACAATAAAAATCTATTCATCAGATTTTGTTGAAAAATAAAATTATTTGAAAATATTTTTGTATCTGTAAAAGTTTAATCTATTTCGTCGTCTCCATTTTAAGCGTTGCAGAGATTCTTCATATTTGATTTTCTCCAGTCCTTAAATTTTTTCCCAACCCAACCACCTAACGAACCTTCGACCTGCTATTTCGGCGCATGCCACGTGCCACTTCCGTCTTTGCTAATGCTCATTTGCCTTATTCCGCTCGCACACATCGGTCATGTGGTCAGTCTTTCATTCCTATTCTATTTCCCGTCAATTCTGACAAACCTTCCTCATTGTCGCCCAACACATCTTGCAGTGATATAGCACTCAAATATTTCCAATCTAAATTTTTTTTTGCATACAATCCTTTTTGTAGGTTTATTCACAGACAAACAGACAAAGACATGCGCGCGTCTGTGTGTGTGTGTCTGTGTGTATGTTGTATCTTGTGTTGCTAAATTTCTCGTGAGTTAACTTCAGCAACGTGTGTGTGTGGGTACAAGTGTGTATCTTTGTTTATTTGTTTGTTAAAATAGACCCAGAACTGGTATTGATATGAGTATTTAAGAATGCGAATAAACAGATGGAGCAAGTGAAAAATTGCGTTCGATGGGAAGTGTGGTGCGTCTCTAAAATTTGTTTGCTCGATGTTTGTATGTGCTAGTGGACGTTGGTGTATGTGTGCATATTTGCCTATCTGTGTGTGCTGCTAAACTGTGAGACGCATAGGATAATAAATTTTATGAAGAATCGTTTTATGAGGTGGCAAGCTTAATGCTTTTGTCTTTATTGACTTAGCAGTCATACTCGTCGTCACCTCGTCTACATTCTTTGTTGTCCTCTCAACAAAAGTGGTTTTGTTTTTATTACACTATTTGGATGTAAACATGAGATGTGTATTTGTGGGATTCACATTCTTTTTATGGGGATTTTGTGGGAATTGGTGCGGACTATTAGGATGAGAATTTTAGGAAAGGAGGAACTATTACATGAGAATCGTCAGCAAAGGACAGGAATGAGAAAGTGGTGCATCTGGAATTTGCTAAAAACTAATTTTTTAACAAACTTACTATATCAATAATTTTGGGAGCAGTGTATAAACAAAAACACAAATTATCTACATGCTCATATTAACGTCTTGAAATTTTACGGCGTTAATGCATGGGTAGCGGCAATGCATTGCAGACGTTATTAAGATATCGTGATGTGTGTGTGTGTGTGTATGTGTGTGTGTGTGTGTGTGTGTGTGTGTGTGTGTGTGCGCGCGCGCGCGACTAATTACTTTGTTTATTTACCGTTTTCTAAAAATTATTTATCAACAAATGTTAGACCATCAACATAACAACAAACACCTGAACATCAGTTTATGACAACTCGAATTTGCTGAAAGGATTGTTACAATGGAATGAAATGGAATTATTACATTATTATGACGTCAGGACATACAAAGTGGAAGCAAGTTCGTCTCGGATGAACGAGGACCGTCCTTCATTTTTATGCAATATTGGAACAAATCAACAATATCATTATTATTTATTTAAAGTTTATTTCGGTAATTTTCAAAATATTTATTTACCGTATTAGGAGCTCAAAACGTGTGCATAAATTTTTTTTCTTTATTTTAAGTTCAGGAAAACAAAAATCAGAAAATAAAACTGTGGATTAATTGAAAAAGTAGGTGATGAACAGTTTGAAAATGTTAATTTGGAGGAGAAATGGAGATGAAGCAAAACTACTGGGAACAAATTTTGCATTTCCTCAACTTCCGGCCTCCAAGTTGGTTAGGTAACTGTAAGCAGTCACTTTTTCAATTTCTCACTCTTTCACTCACTCACTCTTTTACTCGCTCACTCACTTTTTCACTCACTCACTTATTCTTTCACTCCTCATCATCGTCGGTTGTTTAAACAACGTCGTGGTCAAGTTAAGTTGGATGGATGTTGTTTTCAACGACGCTGATTAATTGAACACCTATATATCATTATTTTATTTTTCATTAGTTTATTTAAATTTATTAACACACACACATACACACACACACACACACCTTTATATGTATATATATATATATATATATATATATATATATATATATAGGAAAAGTTATACTATATATGTGATTCATTAAGAGTGTTTACAGATTACAGCTTGCATTATTTTAAAACTTTCACTTCAGTAAATTTTTTCTTGATACGGAGAGGAATAAAAATAGCTTGGTTGGTAGAATAATTGACAGATGAATGAATATTTGAAAGTTAAGGCGGATGTATAGATGGATGCACTGATGCATGCATGGATGAACGCATAAATGAATGAATGAGTTTATTAATGTATGAATGAATAAATGAACGAATGAAGGCATGGATGGATAGAAAGTTAAAAAGAAAAAGAATGAAACACATTTGATACATGTATGTGTAAGAAATCAATATTTTTTCTTTCTTGGAGCCCTGTATGACGCCGACAAGAACATCGTCGTCGTTTGTGGCTGCTCTTCTTGATATTATCGCCTTCTAGTTGCCATGAAATATTTCTGTTGCTTATTGCATTCTTTTATTTCTTTTTTTTGTTCTTCATTTTATTGTTGTTGTTATCTAATTCGTTTTTGACGAATATTTCTGTGCTTGCTTTTGAAATCGTCACAAAAGCTGCTTGAACAAAAATAGTAACAATGGCAACAGCAGTAACAACAACAACATCAATAACAACGACAACACATCAGCAATGATAACTAAGACATAAAGAACAGATATTAAACACAAATTTCCAAAAACTTCAACAGCCACGACAACACAACTACTATTACAGCAACGGAATCAAACACAACAACAACCACAACAGCAGCAACAACCACAACAGCAACAACCACAACGACAGGAACGACAATAACATCTCCCTTATATGCATAATGCTAATTGTTCT